TATTTTGTTGCAGCTATGTTTCTTTAATAGATTTGTCTCCTCAAGAAATAATTAATTCCCTGTGTTCTGCCTAATTAGGAGGTTTTTACTCTGGTGCTTTTATAAGGCATTGTTCATTCCTCTGCACATTGCGGACGTGCCTGTATGATTTAGGACAGAGTTCTACCATGGTCCCAAATGCTCGCTTACTGGGGGGAGCCTACCCTGGGGCTGTATTGCAAAATGCCATTAGTCTAACATTGTGAACTCATCTGGAGGAGGGGAGAGTTCAGGGATGACCTCATAAATGGCTAGCCACTTTGTCATTGTTCAGTTGTAGTCTGTGCTGGCCCTGCACCAGGTTGTATTTCTTACTGCAGTGTAGTCTGTAGACTATGGAATAGTTTGTCAAAATTCTGAGCTAAACCTGAATAAAACAGATGTTAAAATGTTCATACAAGCAAGAATGTATGGAACAAGAAAATACAGTATATAAAAGTTTCAAGACCTTAAGGGTACGTTCACACCATATGCAGTGCGTACCGGCCCGATTCGGCATTGCGGCCGGCTCACTATTTCATGGGGGTGTAGCGGGCCATTGAAGTGAATGGCACCGTAGTCAGGCCCTCCGGCCGCAATGCGATCGCCTGCAAGGGATCGCATGGCACATTGTGCCTGCGGTCCGGTGCGATCAAAATAGTTCTTGCAGCATTTTGATCGCACCGGACCGGACTGCAGGTACAATGTGCCTTGAGATCGCATTGCGGCTGGAGGGCATGGCTACGAGGCCATTCCCTTCAATGGCCGCTGCACTCCCTCTTGCCCCATTAAAAATTGAGCCGGCCGCAATGCGAGGCAGTGCGTTCTGGCCAGAATCGGGCCCGAACGCACCAACTGGTGTGAATGGGCCCTAAAAGATGATGTGCCAAGTTAAACTGTGTGACTTTTTTTCTGATATGAATGCTTGGGCTTGTTCACACCATCTCCAGACCTGCTTCTGGATGCGTCTCTGCCCGTCTTTGCTGCCTTTTTGATGTGTTCCGTTGCGCTTTTCTCTTAAATTGGTTTTGTATTGGTTTAAGTGTGCTCTGGTGCGTTAAATCGTTTTCTTTTTTAATTTTTGGTGCGAAAAAAAAGCATGCTGCTGCTCTAAAGGTGGACTACATACAGATGGATCCCTGTGTCCCATTATATCAGGGGTGCCCAAAAGGTCGATCGCGTTCTACCAGTCGATTGTAAAGCTATTTCTGGTAGATCGCAAGTTGGAATTAGCTGCTCCGTTTATCTGGGAGCTCAGCTGCTAGTGGCCGGGTGCAGTTTGCTGTGTTGGCCAGCAGGTGGTGCTGTCTCCTGGCACAGCCTCTGACACTGGAAGCCGTGGCTCAGCATGCAGCTACCTTGGGGGACACAAATCCTACACAGTCCTGGGCAGGGTGAGTGGTGGTCTTTATCAGAGGGAGGGGACATTGGGTACCGCAGCTTGTGTTCTCTACCCACTGTACACAGCCGTGTGCCACCACCTAACGGGACTGTGGGTAGTTTACCTCCTCTGATAAGAGTGCTAGGTCTAACTAAGGGCCCATTCATAATAGTACAGTGCGTTCATGGCAATCACACCTACCCCGTGTTTTATTATGGGAGGTGCGTTGCGGTGACATTCGTTGGTAGATCTCATTAAGCTGGTCATATAAAACGCAGATCTTACCACAAAAAATTGTGGGCGCCCCTGCATTATATAATAATAATTTTAAAAAAAGCTTTTTAATATTTAACAAGTATTTTCCAGCCCTGTTACAAACACTTTAGTGCTGCCACTGCACAGCATGCTAATGGATTTGGTCACATACTTTAAAGAAAAACTTTGCCCTTATCTTAAAAATGACTACAAAGGCATATTTTATAAATGTTTAGCAAAGGCAATCTACAAACAGATACTTGTAGATAATTGCAGGATTTGTATTACATACATACCTTTATTTTTCTTCTCCTTCCCATGCTCTTTGTGGTGGCCATTTTCACTGAGGGCAAATTAATCAATCTCCCTTTACTTTCTGCAACTCTGGGTCTGCCTTCTGGAACATGTGACAGTCAGATCATTTGAGGTGGGAGGGGAGAGAATGCCATACAGTTGAGATTTCCCAGGAAAACTCTGGTGATGTAGCCTTCCCATGATGCATCTGTGAGGCCAGGGCTACATCACAGTGTCTCGGTCAACCAGGAAGTGGAAAAGCAGTAATTGTTGGTAAAGGTCTGCTTTAATAGAAAATTTGGAGCTCCACTTGACTTGCTTTACCTAAATGTCATTTATGGAAGCCCCTTGAGATCAGCCAGAAACATATGGTTTTTTAAACCATTTATTATGGGGTTGTTTTGGTCAGGATTAGTGAAAGGTGGGGGTTTCATTTAGCTTTAGGTCTGCTTTATTGCTTTTTGGGGATTTTAGTTATCAGCTTCACCTATGAAGCATTTTACTCACATTTTCAGGCACATTTGCACGTAGTGTATCTCCTAGCTTCAGTAATAGAACAAATGTGTGTGCATCTATCAGTATTGTTTCCAAAGTGGGTGTAATTTCAGAAATCACTGAAAACATCTGTAGCAGTCATAACAGGATGAATGGAAGGTACTGGTCAGCAAAACGATGAGAACACTTACGTGGATGGCAATAGTAGTGTAAACCCAAGCATGCAAATCCCAACACTGAACTATAGCGCTGTATTTAGTAATAACTTACGCCTTTTGTTTGTTTTTTTTTTTGTTTTTTTGTGCAACTGGTGTTAGTACTTTAATTTGACTAGTTTTAAGCGTCTTATAATCCCTGTTTTAACACTTGGAGAGGAATGGGCCAGACTGGTAGCTAGTCAGTTGTACTGTATGCGTGTGTAAATGTACTGTCAATGAAGCAAGCTGATAGTAAGAATGAACAAAAGGAGATGACCTCATCAGCCCGCTAGTACTCTTCACTGTCCAATCAGGAGGGTGCAGAGAGGGCACCACTGGATTCCTTTACGTTAGTGGTGCCATCCAACTGGCTGTGTTGTGACTCTCAGGACCGTATGGACAGAATTCTAAATTCTTTGGCAGGTAACACAACTCCTTTTATGCATTTAATCTGTATATTTAGTGGTTTGTCGAGTTCAACTTTAATGCATAGCTAAAATAATGATGCCATTTTGTGTTCCAAGCAGCATCCTTTCAGTGCTTACAATAAGGCCATAAGAAGTATGTTAGCGTGGTGAGCAGTGCAGGTTCTTTAATGCATGCTTTTCAAATGAAGACTCCTGACATAAGATTCACTATTGCGTGTTGATCTTTTTTTGAGTAGATTCTGCAGCATTAGGGTGGTTCGCAGTTTTCCTGTGCGTTAAGACAACAGACCTGCACTAAGGTCTCGTTCACACCTAGGCGTATTGCATATGCGCGTCTGTCGCGCGTTTTTTTACTGCGATTCGCGGTAAAAAAAAAGTTGCGCGACAAACGCTCGTTTCCGAAGGCTACTTGGCTGTATCCCAATGGAAACGCGCAACAAAACGGCCCAAAGTAGTACATGTACCTTTTTCAGGCGTGGGCCGTTTTGTAGCGCGTTAGGGACGGGCGGAAATACGCTAAGGTGGGAACGAGACCATTGAATACAATGGGATTTATATTTTTTAGCGTTTTGTAGAGCGTTCGTCGAGCGTAGAACGCGCTACAAAACATTCAGGTGTGAACGAGGGCTAAAGGATAACCACAGGCACACTTTAAACAATGGCGCTGTGAGCTAAAACAAAAGTACTTGATGCAATATTTTGATGTAATGTAAAATGTTTTTTTTCTGTGCCAACTGATTGCCCTTTACTTTTACAGCTAAACTATTTGTACTCTCTGTAGGTATGGCACAGGGAGGTACTTTGTTGTTCTTCGGCCTGTATGGGTTGGGGAGTGGTAGCGGAATGTCTCAGGAAGGTTTCGAATGAAAAAACATAAAATAGAGAGAATAGCATCCCAACCAGGCGAGGCTCTTGGCGGGTGGGTGGAGACAAAGTGGGGGTGATTGAGGATTGGTTTTGTCATGATTGGCGGTTCTGTCTCTCTGTTAGTGATGGTTTTGAGGAGGGTGATAATGATGGTTCAGGTAAGAATGGGTAAATGTTTGATCACATTTAATCACAAGGGTGACAAGTAAAGACTCAGCGTGAGGTTAGTGATGATGTGCTGTCATTGACAGAAGTTGCGGCGGGTTGATGCGATGGTATCCACATGTTGGTTGGTGCATTGGAGGTGAACTCTTGTTTGTGGACACTGTTGTGGGTGATCCTTGTTGGTGTTGGTTTGGACGAGTGGGTTGCAGCTGGGTAAGAAATGTGTGGGAGTTCAGATTTTGTAGTACTTTTGATGGTTTGAAATGTTTGGTTCCTGGGCTGATTGCAGCATGTAGCGTGGGGACTTGGTCGCAGTGACCAAAAAAAGGGGCGGGGGGCCGCCACCGCGCTGTTATGCCCCAATTGTGGTTTGTGAGCAATCACGGTCTGATCGTGGATGGGCTGTGTTGTGGTGCAACCTGGGTGTCAAAGTGTTTGTGAACAAAAGTAATTGCAAAGGGCGGGGGGATCCGAGGGTGAGGCATGATGTGGTTCCTGTGACACACCCGCAGGCTTAGGACGAACAGCTTGGGTGTCGTGGGTGTCAGGGGGAGGTCCGGCATCACAGTTCCCTAGTTTCGTGGCAGAAACGAGAAGGTAACCAGATGCCACGATCAAGTGGGGGAAAGGCAATGATGTCGGCAGACTGGACAGGGACAGACTGCTCCGGGGCATACTATCAGCCCGGTGCACGAGCTCTGTGTCCCGTCTGAGGGGGCAACGAGTTTCGAGGATTAAATCTTCTTTATCAAGCCAAGGTTCGGGGGAAGTATGCTGGCTGGAGAAACTTGTGAAGGGCTGGGTGTGGGAGGAGTTAAGGACCTGTACCTTCATCACCCTCCTCTTTAACCATCACGAACCGGGATACGGAACAGCCAATCGCAACAAAACCAATCCTCAATGACCCCACACTTTGTCTCCACCCACCCACCAAGAGCCTGGTTGTGACGCTTCTCTCTCTCTCTCTTTTCTTTTTCAATTATACACGACCAACACCTCGGTCCATTCACACCTGAAGCAGCACACTGGCTAAGACCACACCTTCCCCCCCCCC